TAAAAAAAAAAAAAAAAAATAACAATGTCAATTGTAATAATTGTATTAATTGTAAAATTGTATATAATATAATATAATAAAATGTAATGCAAAGTAAAAAAACCAATCAGCGTTTAATTTATTCTTATCCTTATTAATTTTTATTTTTTTACTCACCTGTACGGTTTTGGAATTTGGCCAGTTTCTGCGTGATTGGCCAAGTTAGCTACAATGTCTTCCAACATTTGAGTCCTCGTTCTCTCTTGCATCTTTGCGAATTTTGGCGCGGAATAACTCGCTCTCTCCCCGTTGACAATCTTTGTCAATAACCACTCACGAAACATGGGACCTATATATATATTAATATCTTGTAGAAATCACAAGCCTAACTATATTCATACATTTTTGCAAATTAAGATTTCTTGATAGAATGTGTAGGATTAAATATTATTTACCCTTTTTAAACACATTTTGTTCCCAAAGATAAGGTTTGTATGCTCCAACTTCGTCCCTCGTAGCGACGGATACTTCGTATCTGGTAACCTTCCTTTTTATCCGTGGACTGACTCGAACCAGAATAAACGTGTAGAGGAAATGCGATTTCATACAAGCTGGATTAAACGACGTCTTGTCAGCCTCCAAGAACACGACGCACACTATATCGTTTCCTATGTGTCGTTTCTTTTGCACCTAAAAAAAAAAAAACATTACCATTATCTTGAAAAATTAAATAAATAAATTAATTAAATTAAATAAATAAATAAATAAATAAATTAAATTAATTAAATAAATCAATAAATATCAAAGAGGACAGATCGATTTAATTGATAGAGGCATAGTAGATACAATAATGAAAATATCGATTATTTGAAAATTAGTCAGAAATGAATATGTTGGAGAAAAAAATTTTTCTTTACCCTCTGTACGTCGTGTTTCTCATTGGGGAGAAAGGTGGACACGTGGTACATGATCTCGATCCCTCGCCAATTGGTGTAGACCGAGTACAATCCGGTCAGATCGTGAATCGTATCCAATCCACCCTTGTACTTGTCGAAACCCTTCAGACGAATTTTATCGCCGAGAATCTGCAGGAACTCGTCGAACAATGGTGAATTCTCGTGGTTATCCAATATCTCTTCTTCCGTGCATTGATTCTCTTGAACGTAAAGAACCCCGACTTTCAGTTCCGATTTTATGAACACCTGATCCAGCTTCAGAAGCTCGTCCTGGGTGTCAGGTAATTGGCCCAACGTTAACGGTGGATTCACGTTCACCTCTTTGCCTAAACTACGCACCACTTCCTCTCGATTGTACCTGAAAAACGAGAATGAAAAATAATTTGTAACACGAAAACGATCGATTTATATTTTCAAAAAGAAGAGATTTCGAAAAGTGAGGGAGATTTACCTGATTTGAAATTTAATTTTTTTTTTCTTCAATTTTTGTAGAATTTTTATAATTTGTATTATTTTTTTTTTAATCGTTGATAAGTCTTTAAAAAAAGAAAACGTAATATTACGTAATCAGCATATTATCAATGCATCAACAGATTTAGATTTTATTTGATTTCACTCCGATTGTTTACAGCGTAACATTTCTAAATGAAAATAAAAGCAATTCTGTGTTACAGAGAAATCTGTGTTGTCTTTCACTAAATGATTTCTAAAAGCGTATATATGTTTCATATAAGTATGTGCTCCTCGTAGCAATAAAGTTAACTATTTGTTATTTGTGCAACAAATAGCATTTTATGATTCTTTCAATTGGAATGTAATAAATTTGTAATATTCTCAAAAGTAATTTAAAACATATCTTCCTATCCAAAGACACAAAATTTGCATTATCCCATTTCATTTCGAAATATAAAACAACTTTTCTCTTAATCCCATTTACTTAAACGATATTAATATCTCTAGAGAGAGTTAGGATATAACCATTCTTTACTCTCACTTTTAACTGTGTCACTCGATATGCGTATATTACACTTACAAGCGAAATGGCTGACTTATACTACTTGTTCGACTCGTGTTATTGATTTTTCGAAATTACTTTTGCAATTGACGCAATCAACAAATTTCTATCCACTTAAAATACAAATACAAATATTTTTCCAATATTTTTCCAAGAGATATTAAAAAATATCAAAATTCTATAAAATTCTATAAATATTAAAATTCTTATAAAATTCTTACTGAAAATAAAAAATTAAATAAAATAAATACCTGTCAGCAAATACACAACTCGCGGGAATCAGTCCGTGCACAGTGTAACTGATAGCCCTGACGAGAATTCTGAACTGATCCCGACTATTCAACGTTTCCTGCTTGATGCTAAGTATCACGGGGCCAAGGTCGTCGTCGTTGGTGAAATAATTCCAATGCTCAGTTCCATAGAAATATTTCTCGTATGTTTCTTGTTCGACCGAGGTCAACTCGAATCCTTGGTTCTTCTCCCATTGCTCCTCGATGGTGGTCTTCTTTCTGGGCACTTCGTCGGTGTCAGACTCTTGCTGGACCTCGGCCAATTCTGTGTCGGTCGCCTCTCCGCTCTCGCTCTCATCCCAGATCGTGTCAGAGGTGATCTGCTGTCTGGAGCACTCGATCCAGTAGCCAGGTGTAGGTATCAGGTTGTGAGGGAACTCGTTGCAGAATTCATCTATTGGAAAATATAATATTTTGGTTAATCATATTGCAAATTATTATGGATAAAAGTAACGAAGGAAAGGATGGTCTCTCTTCGTGAGGATTTAAGGAATAAATTAATTTGAACAAATTAGAGTTGAATTATTTGAATTTTTTTTCTTTGAAATTTAAAATAATAATTTTAACGTAATTTTTATATCCATTTAATTTTTATTGTATTCATTTAATCAAAGAATGATTTTTTTAAAAGATTAAATTCAGGTTGAAATTGTGAATAATCTTGAAAATGTAAAATAATAATTTTAGAATAATGATTATTTTATAATATTAAGAATACATAATGATATAATTTTTTTAAAATATTCATTGTACAAATTAATCAAGTTATAATTAATTATTTATTATTTTTAAACTGTATTTATTATGTCCTTTAATAATTTATAATTTGAATTTTATTTACTAATGAGAGAAGAGGATTATAATTTATTACAATTTTGAAGTTTAATGGGAAATTCAGAAACTAGTAATTTTATTAAAAAGACATTGCGCAACTTCATTATAATGATGTACGACTAAAATATAATTCCGTGAGCGAGAAGCAAATAAAATAAAATTAAAAAAATATAATACATGAAATATTTGTTGGACGTTGTTCAAATAACGAAAGAGATTTTATTTGTTTCATCCGTTTGTTATTTGATTACGGTTATGTATTCCATTAATCATTGTTCATTATTTAGTACTCGTAATCTCTAATTAATTTATCCGATTTTCTTTCTTTTATTTGTTATATAATAGAAAACTTACTTGTTTGCTTTTACTTTTATTTTTATACGAAATAATTATTCATTTAAATTTATTTTATTTATTTTATTTCTTATTTCTTCATTTAACAACGAATAATCATTATCTTTTTCTTATTTCGATGAGAAACTACGTATTATTCGATAAAGCAATCCTTATCGTGTCATATTTATTCATTAAAAAATACAAATTAGCAAATCTACAATTATATAATTATCATTTTAATAAAAACTTGCAATTTCACAATCTGAATTCACTGTAATTGAACACAGTAGATATACGAAAATTATTTTATACATATACCATATATCTAATTTTAACAATCGTATACCAAATTCAATTATTATTTATCTATCTATATAACAACGTTGCACAAGTTTTTATCATTATTACTTACTTTATCGTAAAAGTAAACGACATCTAAAAATTATCCTCACGAGTCTTCTCAAAACTCAGCAATAAACAGAAACTTTTTCAGAAACACCATGCAACTACTTCACATCCCTGTCTCCCCCCAATTTCATTTCCCATTATTCTCCTCAATTCATCCTTCCATCCTCCTCGAAACAACACATTCTTCGCATCCTCGATCGAGAACGAAATTTCAACGAATCCACCCTCTTATTATTCACCCTCCACTCCGAAGCAACAGTCGATCCAAACCACCTCGAAGACGTTTCCTCGTAGCCACGTGGAAACGTGAAAGAGTCGAGAGGCGTGGAAATCATTAAGGAAGCAAGTTGGGGTCGAATCCGATCGAACTATCGGGGGTTGCCCTCTTTCAAGGATTTTTTCTTTCGACGTGCAACTAGGCTATCCCATCCACTTAGTCACGTATCGCGTTTCCCCCTTCGCAATATTCCGCTTTTCATCGATCCGCCTTTCTCCTTCTCTTTCTCTCTTTTCTTTCTGCCTCTTTTTCTCTCTAGAAGGTTTATGACACGCGGATTATTGTACGAGATATTTTTGAAGAAATCAAATTCTGGGTAAAGATTTTCTGGAAAATGAAACATCGTGGAATATCCATTTTTCATGGATATAAAAAATAAAATTTCTAAATGATATGAAGATTATGTCATAAATCCTTGATATTATAATTATTGTATAGATATAGATATTATTCTTTTTTTTAGAGAAATAGAATTGATGATTGGTAAATTCGAGATCATTTTATATAGTGTCACGAAAAAAGTTCTTAAAGATAAGATGGCTCGAGGATGATCACGATGAAGACGATATATTTGAAAATTTGTACAACTAATTAAATCTTAATGCAGCATTTTGCTTGTAATTTTTATTCTTTATGTATATAATTATATCATATGTTATTGTAAAAATTCGTTTATTATTTTTCTATTTTTGTTTTCTCCTTCATTTAGAAATAATCCCTAGTAAAAACAAAAAATAGTAAAAATTCAACCGTTATTTATGTACTGAAAGATAATTAAACATCTAACATTTTTTTTTTTTATAAATAAATTCAGATATTAAGAATTGTCCGACAAAAAAAGAGAAGAACTAAAAACTTCTAAAATATCCTATCAAAACGATCATCGCATTAAAAGCAAGCAATTCAAGAGAGCCCTCTCAAAGAAAAAAGTCGCAAATCAAGCGATATATCTCTCGAATATCGACAACCTGTTAGAAATCCCCTTAGATCAATAAAGCCAATAAGAAAACACTATATTTTTTCAATCAAAAATTAATTTGTCGTGAATACACGTGTTATACACCAACCTTTAGATAGACACACACGTTCAACATTCTCTCTCTCTCTCTCTCTCTCTCTCTCTCTTTACTTGTTGGAACGTCGACGATACCACGGTCGACTCACTGTAAGGTAGAACACCAAACTGTTTATAGACAGGCTTGGTATTCGAACTTAAAGTGAACCGGCCCCGGTGCATCCTCGTCTCTCTCCCTCTCCCTCTCTCTCTCTCTCCCTTTCTCTCTCCAGACTGGTCGTCTTTCCGCCCCTCTAATCTCGGCTTTCTCCCTGCAGGAACTAATGGCCTGTAGTGGTTCGTAAATTCGATCGTCGATACCCGGGGACAGCCGGTTCCTCTTTTACACCCCCTTCCTACGGATGACGATGCTCCTCTTCCAGCTTCTTCTCGTATCTCTGCGTCGAAGGATCGCGAGATATATCCTCTCATATGAGGATAAAATAACGATTAAACTGCGGATGTTTCCCCTCGCGATTTTCATTCTCACGTTTTATATATTTTTTTTTTTTTTCAAAATTCGATGTAACTCTCGCAATAATAATTTTCTCGGTTATATTTCAGTTTGCGGAAAAATATGATAATACGAATATTTGAAAGGCGAGATAACGAACAATCAAAAAAATTGAAGTAGTAAGTATAATAATAAGAATGTTGGGCAGGAGTAGTGATTGGGCAGGATCGTGTGACGTTAGTATCGCGTTATCGATAGTGTTAATGATGATGGATTTTTAAAAAAAGTTACGTCTATTTTTTTTTTTCTAAATATCCAAAAATCCTTGTACGAATAATTATCTTATCGTTCTGATAATATCTGAATTGTTCTAATTCAAAATGTAATGTAACGTGTTCAATTAATAACTCAAGGTTGCAAAAAATATGGTTTGTATAGCCTATAATTAGCATTTACTACACGTATACTATGACTACGCTGTTATGTGAGAGTTTACCGATAGAATAAATTAATCTAACGATAAATTTGCTATATGATTATAGAATATGTATATGTGAATATATAATAATATATTTTTGCATATAATTATAAATATCAATATGCAAAACATATTTATTACGCGAAAGATAGGAAATAAAATATGTATTTGTCCATTATTGCTTTACCTGTTTTCTATATAATAATTTATGTAAACATCCGCAGTCTAATATCGTTGGTAATTCTTGGCAAAATTTTTGGACTTTTTGAGAAGGGAGAGAAGGTTGGTATTACGGTGAGATTTTTTTTTTTTTTAGATTGATGGAGGGGTGGTAATCTTGTCGCGGTGTCGAGTAAATGTTTGATGGATCGAGTTTGCTTCTAGATTAGTTTCTTTTTTTTTCTTTTTTCTCTCTCTCTCTCTCCTTTTTAGAATTATATGGATTGGATTTTATCCCGATGAGATAAGTTTAAATTTGTTACTTTTCCTTCTTCTCATCGATAATGATTTATGTATCTTTAAAAAAATTTAAAATTGAGAAAATATATAATTTTGTTTTAGATAGATGGTTATAGATATTGAAGATTATTTTCACTTAAAGATTTTTGTGATATTCGTAGCTTTTATAAAATTTATTTCTATCGGAAATAATAGAAAACATTGAAATCCAGATGAAACTTTTTACATTTCACATGAGTTTCGATTTTTATTAAAACAGATTTATACGTGTATGTATGCACGTTGCTTGCATACACGCGAGTTTACGCCAATTTTGTCGTTGAACTCGATGGATTCCATTGTAACAATTGTCAGTGAAAATTCTGTAAAAACGTTTATTTGATTTTTCGCATTTACGCACGATTTCAAACTGAACTCGTTTCATGAATAAAATGGATATTTGTATTATTGGAACCGAATACTTTTAACATCGCATTTCCATGAATTTATGTAAACTTGATTAATTTCGTACGCGGGCGATGTTGCGGATGTCATTTAGCAACGGTGTATTAAATTAAATAACGATTTAATTACATGTACGAGAATAAATTTTCAAAGTATACGAATGTATAAATGCTCCCACACGTATGGAATATTAAGTTGTCTATAATTTTGTCAGATTATTTGGATTTTCTCTGTTATTAATTTTTCGTCAAAAAAAAAAAAAACGAATATTAATTATTGGCGAAAGAGATTTACTATTTTACTTTCGTTGAATTTTATTTTACTTTTGATTATATTCAACGTGGAATATATTGAACATTATTATTGTTTCGATGAGTGTACATATATAAATTTATTTGATAGAAAGAATTTCATTTCTAAGTCAAGTGACATAGAATTTTTTTTTTTATAAACTGTATAGCTTTCTTTAAAAAAATGAAATATTAATATTTATTTTAATTATAATAAATTTTAAACATATTAATTTCTTTCAAAAATTATTTCCTTTTAGATGAAATATATCTATATTGAAATATCAAGTGGAAATAATTTAAAACAATAGATAAATAAAGTATTATATTTTAAAATGCTCAAACATTTATTTTATCAAAGTTTGACGACATTTCTATTTTTGCAATTAGCAAATAACCATTTCTGTCCACATGACAAATATTTGCCTTGAAATAATAAATAACTTGAATATGCGAAACACGTTCGTTCAATTAAGCTTTCAAAACATGTTGCAAAACATGTTTATTTACTTAAATGATTCCAGAATACAAAATACATGCACGTTTCCTTCACGTTTCTTCAAATATGTCGAAAGATATGTCCCAATATCATTAAGTGGAAATTTATTTACTTACAGTAATAAATTTTATAAATTTCTACGAATTTATCTTCCAAACAGAAGATTTTTCTTTCTAAAATTTATCTTCAAATCTTAAGATCAATTTGCATTAAGAAAAATTAAATTTCTGAAATATACTCTTCTGAAAAACTTAAAAGATATTAATAAAAATCAAACATATAATTTTAAATCAAACGAAATAAATTACAATCTTTTATTATATGAAAATTTTATAATATCTTTTGTAGAATTCTTTTATAATATTTTTATAAAAAAATAACATTCCCTTGGAACAATAAACTATTATAAGAAGTGAACCATAATTAATTGAAATAAAAATTTCAATAAATCAATTTTTAAAATTCTAAAATTCTAAGATAATTGAATATTAATATTAATTGTAAAATATTCTTTCCAAGATAAAATATATGTGTAGCTTTTTTTTCTTCCTAAATTATATCTTATTTTAAAAATAAGGATGAGAAAAATGTACAAATTAAATCATATACCAATACGCCAACAAAACCACAAAAACTTAATCACGTTGAATACTTGAGGATTTAATTCGATTCGATTTAGATTCGAAACGAAGCCAGTGAATGTAAAGGCGTGTAATCCAAGACAGGAGAAACCACCTGTAGCGTCGACTCATACATATGTACGTCTAGTAAAAGTTCGCAATTCTAGTCTCTTTCCTTCCGTTTCCCCTCAACTCGTTCTCGAGTCTCTTAACTTGTTAACCTTCAACCGGCGACTGCGTGAATTTTCAGCATCTCTAATAACATCAGCTTATATATTTCTCGAAATAAGTAAAGTCCGCGTTATATAATTATCCTAATATTTAATTATCAAATTTAATAAGTTATATTATTTTTAACTTATTATATATAATTAAATGAAAAATTAATAATCGATGGAAAAGTTATGTATGATTTTTAATTTTACCATTATGTAATAACAACTTTGTGAAAACCTTTTTGTTTATTGAATCATGAAATTTAAAAGTCTGCTTGAATTAAATGTGTTTCCATTGAACCGTGTGTTCGATAAAAGTGATTATATATTCTGTTTTATTTTGTTTTTGTATATCAGAGTTAATGAGGAAGGAGATAAGGAATTTACAATAGGACTTTCTCAATATTACTTCCTGTTAGCAAATAACTGTTCGAACCTTAAGACATTGATAAAAAATATGACAAATATATTATAAATCTTGACAAAGTGAAATCTTGTTTGATTCACTTATAAAACATATTCTAATATTTCTACACTTTACTTTACAATACAATATTTCCTTTTTACATTGATTGCTATTTTAAACCATTTCACAAGACACACATGCCACAAGATAGTTTGGAAAATTGACAAATTAGCTGGCCATACCTGAACAAGCTTGCGGTGGTAAGGGGAAGATTAAGGTGGTCGATGACTTCCTTCGGGCAACTGCGCAGCCTAAACTTTGTGGTTTGAAGCTGCGCAACTGCTGCATGAAGTCCGAGCACTCCATCAGCGCCACGTCAGCGAAGTGAAGATCGCAAAGTATTTGGTTCTTGAACCTGTGAAACAGAAGGAATTAATAATCCCTCTGCATCTCTAAATAAATCGAACAATATTTTTTCAATTAATAACGACGAGCTTGTTATACGTATAACGAGCTGATGGAAAAATTTCTTCTGATTTCCGATACGATATCTTTTGTTAACTTGCTTCCTGATTGATTTGTTCCATTTCACAATTTTTTTTTCTTTCTTAAATTTATAATCTTACCGTTGCTCTTTAGAATATTTTATAATCGATGATGAAATGAAGATTTAATAATTGTTGATATTATCTTGTTGTTTGATATTGCGGAATAATATCCAGATTATAGAATTTCATATTTTATAAATTTGAAAAACTTTTTTGCTATCTTGTTTTTGTACCATGCGAAGATTTGTCTTTTGTTATTTAATAATATTTTGATGAGAGTTTTTTTATATTTTGTGAAATGTAAAAATATATCTCGTGTTATTTTAACTCTGTGTTATGTAATAATAATTTTTATTATTATAAATTAAGAGGTGAATTTTAAATTTACTTTAATCATATCATTTAATCATATTTTTTATTTTTTACTTATCTTTATCGAATTTATGAATATTTAAGAAAAAATTTTAGAAAAAATTTTATTCCCTTGTGGACAAATATTATTCTTTTCTTACGAGATGCATGTTTATTTTGTAAAAATAGTGCAAGTTGTATACTGTATGTTTTATGTATACAATATATCGGTTGGGAAAATATTTATCTCAGCGGTTCAATTAAATTGTATATTTTTATAGGTCGACGATCAATAAAAATAACAGCTTCTCCCTCGGGGTATATGAAATGAAAACTGCAATCTTTTTATTCGTGCAAATTTAATAATATTTGCACAATTGTAAAACTTTATATCTTTTGATATGATACTCACCTTATCATTGTGTTTCATATTACTTTATTATCACTTTATAATTGAAGCAATAGATTAAAGAAAAATAATTAATAAATATCAATTATTTTATTAAGAATCGATTAAAAAAATATATATATATTTCACATTTGTAATAATTAATACAAAAAATATCTATTAAATTTTGAATAATTTGCTTTAGAATTTATTCGTGCATTATTTAATTATCATCTAAATTTTAAATTTATGAAACCAGATAAAATAAATAATGAAAATAAAAAATAAATAATGAATTTTAGTGATTTATATTAAATAAATAACTTGAACGATATTTAATATATAATCTAAAACACTCGTAATTCCATACGTAATAGTTAATATTAATATTAGATTAATATAATATTATATATAATATTAATATTAATATTACAAAAATTATATTGAATATAATCTATAGCAGCAATTTTTTTCTCTATGAAAGAGCTGGCAGAAAGAGAATTTACAGTTCCATTTATAAATAAAATATATCGTCCTCAAATATTTCTTCCAGAACATATTTCAAATTACCTTTTTTATTATTCTATGCAATCTTCGCATCTATTCACATGTGCACGTTTAACTACTTCACCTGCATGAAATAAAAAACACACACGACACAATTTTCGTTTTATCGATCCTCGAATCAAATGCATCTCGGGGGCCACGATCGAGCGAATACCGATTCCAACAGCCATGACGTTTTTCCATGTCACGTGGAAATACATTTCGCGATGGAAAAATTCTTTTGAACGAAAACAAACCGCGAGGAAATGAAGATCCTCGATCTAAAAATTTTTATTAGGAAAAGTCAATCCGTGAACGATATAAAATGTCAGCCTTTTGTATCAGCTTGAAATAACAAAAATATCGTGAAAAGTTTCATTATCTGTATTAAAAATAATACAAAATATAGGTAAAAAAAATTTTGTTGATTTACCCGTGAACGTGTTTTGTTTATAAAATTCTTGATTAAAGCGATTGAAATGAAGCTTTTCTTTTATTTCTACGAATGAATATAAAAATGCGTAAAATTATTACATTTATATTTTCTTTTTAATTTAATTTAGATTTTAGAATATGTTTCGCGTATATATAAAAGTTTTGGATAAAATAATATATGAAAATTATTTATCTTTATGAATAAATATAAGGATACATGGAATTATTTCAACGAATATATATGTTGAAATACATACATATATTTTTTTCTTAATAATTCAATCTAAATGAAAATTTGTTTTATATTTATATGAAAGTTATAGATGAAATAAAATGAAAATTTAGTATTTTTTTTATGAATGAAAGCAAGAACGTATTATGATATAATATTATTAAAACTTCAGCAATATTTATTTTTTGAAAAAGTATTCATAATATAAATTCATGAATAATTATCGATGATCATCACAAGAAATACTAATTCGAGATAACTGATATCTTGTTTGACCTTTTTCTTTCTGGGCATCAACAAGTATTTCGATTGCCCGATAATTTCCTAATGAATTCATTTCATGTTTTATGCATGCATTCTATTTTCTTTATTTGAAAAAACTGGTTTATGTTGCCAACAATGTTACCTTTATTTAAACGATTCCATACATATTCTACAATATTTAGGTCATAGCTATATTTATTACATCATTTCTAAAATCTTTGTAAAGCATAAAGATTCATTTCCATGTAATATTGCGAAAGATACGTTCATTTCCTATTATACGACAACTACTGTGAATATGGTATAAGATTTTTCCATTTTGATATTATTGAGGAACTGTATTGTTGCCTGCGAATTCATGAAATTGCATTAAAATGTAACATTGTGTAAAAAGCTTTTACATATATATTCCGTTTTAAAAATACTTTGCTTAGTTGCAATCAAAGAACCATAATGGCTTCAAATATAACATACAATGGTAAAAACTTCTTATTTGCTTATTTCTTTACATAATACAATTTCCATTACAATAAAATATAGTGTTGTTGTTGTAATACAGAAGAATAAATTTATATTTTGCTGTAAACAAAATATCTCAAATCAATTAAATAATAATTACAAAAAATTAAAAAAGAATCAAATTATACCTCAAGTTGTTAATTAATACAAAATATTAACTACATTCATCTTAAATATACAAAATTTTGTATGCATAATTGTAACATTTGATATACAAATTGTGTTTATCATTATAATGCAAAATTTTGATTACAGATAACAGAGTAACATTTAATATGTAATTATATAAGATTGCTTAAATCACTCACCGTCTAGCCCGTTTCTGATTGGGTCCTGTGAGATTCAAGCCGCAGCTGTTACATTTTAAACATTCCTCATGATAGTGATTGTTGTCGTACAGTGGTGATGGTTCTTGAAAAAATAAAAAAAAGAAAAGATTAATCGTTTTAATCCTTTTACGAAAATAATTCAATATAATGATATCGATATAATATCGATATAATTTAATAAAAAATTCATTGTACGTAGCTTGATATAAAATTTTCATATATGGAAATTTTTGAAATGATTTAATATGAAATATGGTACATGTAAGATAAAATATGTATCTAGATCAACGTGATTAAAATAATGAGGGTTGAAAAAGATTGAAAAGGGTCGAAAAGGGTTATCAAACGATTACCTAATCATAATTTTAAATATTTAATAAATCTTAATATAAAAGGAAAACTGTTTGTTGGTATATATAATGTAGTACGTACTATACATTATAACGTTTATTAAGTAAAATTAGAGTTTGTCGGTGAGTTTTTTCCATAAACTTTAAAATTTTAGAATCTAATCTAGCATAAAAAATTAAAAGGGAGAAAAAAGAAGAGGAAAAGTTAATAATGTGAAATGAGAGCAAACACAGCAGAGCAGCTGTTTAAAATTCTCATAGGTATTCGTCCACTTTGATCCAAGTCTTTTCACTTTCTCGTTGATGGCATAATTTTCGTGGAAATTATTCCTTTGAATGGAGAAAGTTTACAGAATTAATAAAGCCCGAGTGCGAAATGAATTTGCAATGGTTAATCCAAAATCAATAGAACTTCCATTTATATCTCGTTAGATCTATTAAATTTCGACTTACCGGAATTATTAGACATTAACTGTATCTATAATTTATTCAAATTTGCTCTAATTTGAAATAAATCAAAATTTATTATTTATTTTATTTTTCTTTATTTAATATAATATAAATCCCTTTTCTATAAATGTTAAATATTCTTAAAATAACTATTGAAAGATCAATAGTTGTCTGTGATATTTCAAATTTTATTTGAAGCAAACATTCGTGCGATTCAGGATTTAAAAATTAAATTATTAAATTATTATCTAAAAATAGAAAATAATTATAAAATAAAATAATATCGATTCTGTTTACGAAAAAATGCAAATAAACGAAAAATGAATGTCTTTAATCAATATGTTTTTAATTGAAGTAAATATCTCGTTTGAAGAATTTGAAATATGTTAAATATTAACTTGATTACAACGTTATTCCCTGATATCATAATAATCTTCAAAATATTTCCATAATATACGTCAATATTTCTAATATCTATGTAAGAAAACTATTTTGCAATTTGAAAATTATATCGAAAAATTTTTCTCTTTATATTTTGGTTTCATATATTTTCTATCTTCTATATTTTTAACTTTATTTTCTATCTCTTATATCTTTTCCGTCTCTAACTTCATTTTCTATCTTTTATTCTTTTTGTATTACTTTATTTCCTATCTTTTTTTATTCAATTCTATTTTCTGTTCCTAATAAAACGTCAGATATAATCTAGTTCAATTACAAACAATAACATTCTTTTATTTAAAATCATTACTTCTATTAAACTTTATCGAACGACTTCGAAAATCTCACTAAAACAAAATCCGCAAAATTCTAGCCTACATATCCGCCTCGATAATCCAATCACTGTGCAAACTAGCGAAAACGCCTGGAAAACGAACCTAATCCACGTATTCACAGAAACAAGAAGAAAAAAAAAAAATTATGTCAGTGATGCCTCATCGATCAATTTCGAGGATTAATACTAGAAATCCTTGAAATTTTATCCTGTAGAATTGTATTGGCAACTATTTTGATCGTGCACAATTTATCTATCTCTAATCGTTATATTATATTCGATACATCAATGATAACTTTTATTTATCTGTATATAAAGAAAATTTGATACGTGACTTGATAATAAAACTACAAGTAACACGAGTAACACGATCTTTTTTAAGTACACCAATATTTTGAATATTAATTTTATGTACTTTAATAATATTATAATATAATAATAATAATCATACTTATTTATCTATAATAATATTTTCATTAATACTAGTAAATATAAACAAGTACTACGAGTCAATATTTGATTCATTATTACATAACAATGTAGTATACATTATACTTTTTACAGTTATCTGACAAATGTTTATCATGTTGCAACAATATCCTTATTCTATACATGCGAATTAACACCTTCCATTTCAAAAATTAATTAAACTCCTCTTCTTTCCTTTATTACTTGTCCCCCCTCCCCCAAAAAAAAGAAAAAAATAACTAGCTTCTCCTTTCTCATTCAATTAGAGAAATTAAATTCAATTGTTGATTTAATCATTTTAACAAAGGAAGAGGAAAAAAAAAATCGAAATGGTTTGACAAACGTGATTCCAATATCAAATTAGATCAAATCCAATCGCAAGGCTATACCTTTTCTCGTGTCCTCGATCGTCCTTTTTCTCTCCTCTTCATCCCCACGTTTTATAGTTAACGACCAACAGTCGAAGGGTGTGGCCTTCGATTCTCCTTCTCCCTTTTCATTCATTCTCCCTTTCTCTCCCTCTCGTGGGGACCATAAAAAATTCCAACGCGTGCCGAGCACCACGGTATGTTGATATC